TTACTGCACTGGTAGGACCTGGTAGGTAGTTTTTTTTTTTTTTTTTTTTTTTTGAAAACAACACCCCAACCAGTGTTAATGCTGCTGATAAGAGCAGACTCCACTAACACCTAGGGWGAGGCTCCGTCTATTGGTGGGGAGCATCACCTGCTGGAAAGCGGGTCCAGCGTCCCATATTACAGAGAGAATAGTGACTGAGAATGTCTGAATATGTCTGAGCATGCCTGTGGGTTTCCTGAGGCTGTACTCCTTGATCATCCCGGGGCTCCGTTTTCCCATGGAACTGCTAATATACCCATCCCCTTATTGGAGCTCCCCTTATATTTTGCTCAGCCTTGTTACAGCAGTTCCATCTTGCATTCACAAGTGCGTCCATTCTACAGTGCTGTGTGGGTAAAGGGGGGCAAACTGTCCAAGGGAGGGCGCTGTCGAATTTATTCTGAGAGCTGTCAAAATTTTCAGCCTTTTCAGCCTTTTGACACTGGTGTGGCGAGCCCCTTACTCAGAATTTTTTGTGGCAAGATTAGAACACGCGACGGTATATCAGAACCCCCCCAGGGAGATTAGAGTGGGGTGGCAGTACCCAAAAAATGAAGAAAGGGATGGAGGCGGGTAGCGCCGCGCGGTGAACTGCGCTAATTTCGGGAAACCCTGTTGGAAACGGCGGTGGATGCTCCCGTGTGTTTTCGCAGTCCCACTTCGCGTCGCTCTCTTCGGGAAGCTTCTTCCTCGGCAATTTCTGGGAAGAAACTTCGGTAGACGGGTCTACTCTCACCGTGGTTTCGGTGTGTTCCACCTGTGGATTATCGGGGGACTGAGTAGGACTCTCCTCCTGGGAAGACAGTCTATGTGTATCCCTACAAGCGAGGTTAACAGGTGGGGAAGCTAGCGTGAGCAAGGGATGTTAGTCACCGTGGCAAGGCAGCAGGCCTGGAGAAGGAAGAGTAAAATCACGAGAGGGAGTACTGCAAGAAGAAGCCACCTGGCAAATATTCCCGGGAGGTTAATTTATTCGTGTTCAGTGGTCCAGGTATTGTTTCGACACTTTCTACTGGTGGGGGGTTGCTGATTTATCCCTAATTTATTGTGGCCTCTGTTATTAAATTCATATCTAGTTAGCTACGAAGAGTATGCTTGGAGGGGGTAAAGTGCTGGTGTAACACAACGATGACATCCCGAGGATCGGACCCGCTTAACCCTACTCAGACTACGTCTGAGGAGGAAAGGGAACGCATCAGAGGGATCCTATCCAAGTGTTACGCAGATGGAGTCCTCCCGAGTTCAAACTGGTTCTTGACGGTAAAGAATACACGATCTCCTTCCAGCCCTGGATGACAGAGCAAGAGCTGTGGGAGTGGAGGGAAGTTGCTAAGCATAAGTTCTGCCAGCAAGTCCTTGTTGCTGCCCTGCCCTCTCTACGAGGGGCAGTGGAAGACGCTTTCGGAAAAAATGTCAGAGAATTTCAGCCCTACAAATATGTCGTCCCCAGACTTGATAAATATTCAATTTGACCTAGAGTCTGCAGCTCGCTTGAAATATAAAAGATACTTGGTGATTGATTTGGGTAAGGATGGTTATGTTGAGTTGGAAAGTGTTTGTGCTACTACACCTTGGTGCCCAAATTGTAGACAACACTTTCACTCTGAGGACGATCCGGACTGCCCGAAGAAAAAGGGCATTTCCTACGCGGACAACGACAAAGGGAAAGGAAAGCAACCTGACCCAAGACCAGGTGCGAACGTTGACGGTAGTAGGAAAAAGGACGGACAGGGAGACAAATACTCCCCAAGCAAAGAACGTAACTCCTCGGCGGTCCCGCTCAAAACCCCGGTTGGGGAAAAGCAGACCAAGAGAGACGATAAGGAGGACGAAAAGGTTGAGAGGTCCTCAGAGGAGAAAGGGGGAAGGACCGACCGACCGTCAGACTCAGAGGGACATAGAATGGATGTGGACGAAAAAGGCGGCGAAGAAGATGAGGAGAAGAGTAGAGCTATGGAAGAAGACACAATGAAGATAAGGGAAAAACGCAAAAGAGAAGAGGAGGAGACCAACAGCAAAGGAACATCAGATGTAGAAGACGAGGTGGAGGAGGAGGAGGAAGAAAGGGTTGAGGGCAAGGGGGAGCGCGAGGAAGACGAGGATTTTTCTAGTGGAGATTCTCCCTCCCTTAGTGATGAGAATGAGGAGGAAGAGGAGGGAGCAAAAATTGGTTTGATGGCACGAGCGGGAGGATCGGACCCTTCCATGGTTTATGACAATGCCGCATACGATGAGGAAACTCCATTGAAAGTCCCCGACGAGTTCTCTAAGCCGCAGAACGATGCATTCTCTTCGGAAGATTGTTTCTCAGACTGCTAAGAGGTAACTACCGTATCGGATAAGGAAGAACGATCAAATACGCCAGTAAAAGAGAAAACAACGAATAGTTCTCCGGTGAAGAAAGTCAGAACATCAGCTGGCAAGGGGACGAGTAAGGCGAGGGAAGAGCAACACGGCTCCCATAAGGAGCCTATTTGGCAGAAAGGCCAACTTAGACGTACATCTAAGCAGCTATCCCTTGCCTGCCAATGAGGACCTTGGATCGTACGGACAAAGCGAGGGCCCCTCCGAAGGAGCTCAATGTGTCACTCATCTGTACAATGTCTCAACATGGTCCAATGGTTTTGACCAAACTCGACGAGAATGATATTCAATCACTACCTGCAATTTCGTCGAATGACTATTTAACGGATGCACGATTGATGAACGAGATTAAGAAGAAAGTTTTGGCCGATCAATACACAAGCTCCATCCTCCCTGAACCTAAAAGAGGTAGGTTGTTGGTCAACACCCCTGAGGGTGGGAAGATGGTGTTGCATGTGTCGTTCGCAGTCCTGAAGGGAGGCGCTGAAGCAGCATCAAATCTTCAAAATCAGTCGATTCAGTAGATCCCCCGGTCTCATTTCCTGGACATTGAAATTGATCCCTTGAAGAACATTGAGATTTTAGGCGAAATTTCAGCCCAAGTGATAGCTGATTGGATATCCCAGGCCAATCTTGAGGATATCCTAACCTCTGATACCTTTGTTGGTTCACTCACGGCAACCCGCTCCCCGCCGCCTCCCCCCTCCCATGTTGAAGGGACAGGGGGCGAGATGAGTGGGGAAACGCTGAAGAAAGGAAAGAGATTCCAGAAGGAGAAGGTCGAGACAAACATCCGCATCCAAAATCTAGGTGGGAAGGGTCGGGAGGATAGCCCGTCCGCCAAAAAATAGATGCACAACCTAGAATGTGAGAAGCTTAGTGGATTCGAATGATAAATGTAAGAAAGCTCGACTATGGGCATGGATTCACACGAACAATGTCCAAATCATGTGTCTACAAGAAACAAAATTAAATGAGCTTAAACTAAAAGACATCCATGGTTGGTGGGTAGGCCCACAAGTGTGGGCCCCGTCAATAGGCTCAAAAGGAGGTGTAGCAATACTAGTGGACAGGAATTTGGACATAGAGGAGCTTGACAGTTAAGCAGATCCAAATGGGAGATTTGTGTGGTTAAAGTTTGCGCCTAGAAATGAAGACTGGGTGGTAATGTCGCTGTATGCATCTGTACATTATCAAGATAGAATTGATTTTATAGCGGATTTACCGTCGTGTATTCTAGACTCCAAAAATTTAATCCTGGCGAGAGACTGGAACACAGTCTTTAACCCCGGACTGGATTCACTTAAGTCACAGCTCTTGAGATCGGATTCTCTGCTCCTCTCCCAATTGAGAGAAGTACATATGCTCAGCGCTTACGGATGTCTTCATAGAATTTAACCCAACTGCATATGGGTTCACCTGGTTTGACCCCAAACCCGCCCCCAGAAAACGATTGGATTTTTTTTTTATTACAGGGAGCCAAAGATGAAAGATCTATATGGTGTGATGAAGTACAGGGTCCTTGTCCGACCACCAGCCGGCCCTTACAGATATCATAGCGATTGACGTTGTGGAGAGACACAGACCACCATTGAGGCTCAATGTCCACATATTGAATGATGAAGGTGTTTCAAACTGGGTGAACTCACACATGCACTCATGGCAGGAAGTCAAGAATCTATTTGACAATGTCGAGGTGTGGGGAGAAACAAGTCTAGTGATTGTACAGTCCGCCCTTAAGAGCCTTGAGGAATTCTCAAGGATAAAAGCAGCGAGCTGGGCGTGGAAAGAGAAGTCTTTGATTAATGCAATAAAAGAAGCTGAGTCCAAAATGGGATCAGACTCTTTTGCGGACCACTACCGGTTGAATTAAAAAAAACGACCTCCTCTCCCAATTGGAAATGTTAGAGGATCGAAAACAAATAGAGTGGCAAGAATGGTTGAATATTAGAGGTATTCTAGGTTATGATAAAATGACGAAATTAACGTTCAGATCATTAATCCTAAAACAGTAAAAACCGCTCGTTAGAGAATTGGCACACCCGTTCGCGGTCAATGCCCCGCTAGCATCGGATACAATCGACCTGTGTGTCTATGCCCTGGAATACTTTAGGGACATAATATCTACAAGACACCCCTTTGACCCCCCGGACCTAGATCTCTCATAATTTTCAGACTTTTGGGACCCAGTAACGAAAAGAATATCACACGAGGTCCGAGAAGAGCTAGATGCTCCAATGACACAGAAGGAAATTTGGTATGCCGTGAAGCAGATTGCGAAGGGCAAATGCCTAGGACTAGATGGTCTCCATATCGAACTCTACCTAGTTTGTTGGGAGTCATTCACCCCCTTTTTGTGTGAAATGTATAACAGAGCATTAGAACTAGGTACCTTTCCTTCAAGCTTCACAAAAGGCATGATTACACTACTTTACAAAAAGAGAGACACAACACAAGTCCACAATTGACGACCAATTTTCTAGTTAAATGTGGTGTATAAACTGTTTGCGAAAACAATGACAAATCAGGTAGGCAAACTGCTGCCTGAGCTTATAGGGTGGGAGCAAGGGGCATTTGTCAAAGGGAGATCGATATTTGATAATATTATGACAACGGTACAGATACTTGAGATTATTGAAAAAGAAAAAAAGGATGTAGCAATACTACTCCTCGATATGGAAAAAACTTATGATAAGGTGGGACGAAGTTTTTTACATACATCCCTATACAAAATGGGTTTTGGCAAACGATTTTGCCGAGCAGTGGCAGCCAGTTATCGTCACGCACAGTCTGTAGTAGTAGACAATGAGAGAGTATCAGAAGTGTTTTGTCTGACAAGGTCCCTGAGGAAGGGATGTCCTCTGGCCCCCCTCTTCGTCATCCAAGTAGAAGTCTTGCTAAAGAATATTAGAAAGAATAATCGAATAACGGGTTTGAAAGTCACTCCTTACCTGCAGTGGAAGGGAGGAGCTATCGCAGAGGACCTAACAGTGTCCTGCGAAAACTCAAGAGAAGTACTTCTATAACTTAGCCATGTATTAGATCATTATTGTGTGTTATTAGAGACCTCTATAAATTGGGATAAATCATTATACTTTCTTCTCCCCCCGAATGTTTTATGTCTCAACTGGGGCCTGAAACAGATACCGGCTAACTCGGCGGACAAGTTTTTGGGAGTACAAGTTTCTTTGTCGGATTGTGCTAATGTCCAGGACTCCATACTGGTGGAGAGAGTCACTTCAAGAATTGCAGGTTGGATCCGAAACCATAGACTCGCGTTGTATGGCAAGGACTTGGTCCTCACGTCAGCAGCCTTCTCTCTGTTGTGGTTTCCACTATCGATCCACTTATTAGGGGAAGGTGCCAACGTGGACATTAAGAGAAGTGTTGTCCGCTATCTTTGGAAACCAGCAGCAGTTGGTCAACAAAGCTAGCTGGTGAAGGCTGCTTGGAACATAATTTCAGCACCCAGGAACCAAGGTGGGCTAGGAATGTTGAATCCAGTTCAACAAAATTTTGGCCTACTAGGAAAATCATGGGTGATCTCGGCAGTGTTTGGAAACAAAGACAAATTGTGGGTCAGTCTTGCAGAATACATCATGGAAAAAGATTGACGTGTATCAAACCCGACTCAACTATGAACGAGTATGTTCATCCCTTCCTACCGGAAAAGAAGGCCAAAGTCTTTAATTTGGAAAAATGCTATACATGCCTGGAAGCAGATCCAACAGAAAAAAATCTATTTTTCAAATATTATGATATTTAACCTTCGAGCCTTATTTAACTGTTGCCCCCGTCGTTTACACACAGTTTTTTAACATTGTAAGGTTCATTCACGTTGACTGATAAACACACAATGAAGGACCGTTGCTTCAGCTCATTAAACGTTATATATGTTGGAGATACCCATGAACCAACCACTTGGACAACATTCATTCAACAATTTACAAGTGTTCGACTAACTGTTCGCCAAATGTTGATTCAACAGCATTTTCAACACGCAACAACGTTGGAAAGATTGTTGGAAAACATCAAGGAATGTTTGAGCAAATGTTGATTCAACACCATTTTCAACATGCGACAACGTTGGAAAGATTGTTGGAAAACATCAACGAATGTTTGAGCAACGTTGAATATCAATTTAAAAAAAATAATAATCATAATGAATCGTTAATGATACATATATATATACTAGCTAAGCACTCGCAGTGCGGGCAGTGCGGGCAATGCCCGCAAAAATAAGAAATGTTGTAGGGAACCTAACACAAACCACTCACATAAACTGAAACAAACGTAAAAAAAAAAAAAAAAGAATCACACGGTAATAAAGAATAGCCCAAAACAGGCTACGAAGTCTGAGTTTAACTAACGAAAAAGAAAAGTGATAAATTGAAAATTCAATTTAAATCATAAAAAAAGAAGTAGGAGGAAGGCCGAGGAGAAATAGAGACAGACAAAGAGAGATAGAAAGAAAAGAAAAGATAGAGACATAAAAAGAGAGAGAGAGAGAGAGAGAGAGAGAGAGAGAGAGAGCAACAAAAGAGCAAAGAATAAAGAAACACGAACACCAGTATACAAAGAGAAGAAGTTTAATATGAGGATTTATCGTTCCATTAAAGTTAGCAAGTGCCCGCAATATGATCAAGGCACAATTATTGCGTAATGGAATCCACCTTGACAACAAAAAACGAAATAATATCAAATCAAAATTAGAGAGAGAGAGAGAGAGAGCAACAAAAGAGCAAAGAATAAAGAAACACGAACACCAGTATACAAAGAGAAGAATTTTAATATGAGGATTTATTGTTCCATTAAAGTTAGCTAGTGCCCGCAATATGATCAAGGCACAATTATTGCGTAATGGAATCCACCTTGACATAAAAAAACGCAATAATATCAAATCAAATTTTTATTATTATTATTATTATTATTATTATTATTTATTTATTTTTATTTTTTTTTTTCTCTCTCTCTCTCTCTCTCCCCCTGCCCCCCCATTTATTTTTATCTCTCTTCCTA